TCCCCGGTAAAACAGAAATGGTGTTGACCTGTTGACACCTTATATAAATTAAATAAATTATTTCAAAATATAAAAAAAGTGAAAGTGTTATTAATGGGTAGCTGCTTTCCTCCAAAATTTCACATATTGTGCACTATTATTAAGAGTAGTAATGTATTTTATAGTAATTTATAATATATAATTATACTTATATCACTACAATTTCTTATTATGCCAAAGTGGTATATATTGTAGATATTTCTTAAAAAATAAAAATTAAATAATAAACCTCGACATAAATGGAAAATTAAATATTATAGTGACAGAGGTAAAAATAGAATAAAATATAAATATATTATTATAGCATACATTACATTTAAAACTATATGGTTAGAAGAAAATTATTACGTATTATTTATTTGTTTTATTGTCTTATACATAGAATTCTTGCGTTTTAATTTTTTATTATTCTCCAGTCACACCACCACATACTCCTTTACCACTCCTTTTAAAGCATACTCAGAACATATACTCTACATATGTATTTTTAAATATATACGATGTTATAACGGTAACGTTAAATTTAGATTTAATCATATTTTTACCACCTTATAATTACCATTTGGCGTTTAAATTATATGAGGTATAATTTCAGTTGTTTGATAAATCAGCAAAATTAATAGCAGAACAAAATAAATTATTAACCAAGGCAATATACACAAATGGTAAAACCAATAAATACCTAAAACAAATAAAATAACATGCTTCACTCACATCATAACTATATAATACCAATTCTTAAGATAAGCACATTGTATCAAAACAATTGTATTTTAATTTACCAACTAAACTATCAAATTCATAAAAATATATTAATATTATAAATTATATTTTAATATTTGAGGAACTATTTAGGCTCAATTAAAATACATCAATTGGTACATTTTTATTCAAATTTTAAATAACATATTAATTACAAATTGTAATCAGAAATTAATATTTTGAAAATAAGAGTAAAAATATATTACTAATTTAAATAACGAGATAGGTATTCACTATTCAATAAATAAACTTTTTCATTAATAAAAAAAAAAATAAATATATTGTCAGATCATTGCACGTCTTCATTTTAAAATTAAAATTTATATTTTATAAATTTAATATAAATTATTGGTTTTACTCATCGACCACCAATCTATAACAAATAAACTGCATCAACAAAAATAGAAATATTTTTTTAAAACGTTATTTTACGTCAATCATATTTTTATATCGCTAAAACTTCATTTCATTGTTAAAATAGTGTTTACAAACAAAGCCTGACCTTCTTTTGTAAAAAAAATGTTTATTGCAATGTAGAAAATGGAGCTGGTATAGAGATGCATCGAAGTCTGCACACTGAGCTTTTTATCTTGTCACTCAAGTCACCGTGTGTTATCGTAATCAATGATTACATAAACACTGGTTACTACTTATTGCTGCGTATACAATATAGGTACACGCAGTATAGCTTACGTATAATTTACCTTAAATTTTATATAAGGTATAATGCAATAGCCGACGTGCACCTACGAGTAGCACCACATAATTAATTGCATCACATTGTAAACAATACAACGTGCAATACATTATATTGTATGTACTCATATATAATATTATTAAGTTAACACAAATAAGTATGACACAACATGCAATTATTAAAGAATATTATTGTAAGTACTCGAATTAGCTTAAAACGCCAAATTATTAATAAAGCCGTTCTTTTATTTTCACCATAACTTTTTTTTTTTTCCATAAATTGTTTCTCATTGATGGTTACAATAATAATAATAATTTTTAAATATTATATCACATAAAAGTGATAGTCACATTCCCCGCGTGCTTTTTCTAAAATTAAAATTCATATAACAATGTAAGCAAAAAAAAAAAAACAAAAAAATTCGAAGTAATTATTATGAATATATTTTTGTTACGATAAAATTATTGTAATAGTAAACGTGAACAATGAAAGTGCAAAAAAATAGACTCATAAAATGAAACACTCTATTATTGTACTAAAGAACAATGAAAAATATATTCATAAAATTTGTTTCTTCTTTACAATATTAATGACAAGATTAAATATAGTAAGTATAAAAAATAAAACGCTCTCAAAAAATTGCCTAAAAAAATCTAGGCCTATATAAAAATGCATAAATTTAATTTAAATATTAAACGAACAGTAAATGAAGAACTTACATACTAAAAGAACATCTAAATTTAAGAAGTCTGTACTTTTACAATTAAAATTATCTAAATATTATAAAAGAATGTTGTTGTTTAAATCTACCCGTACAAATATAATAATATGTATCATAAAGGAGCTGCGGTCACAACATTACAAAATTTAAATATAACAATATAATTCTATAATTAGTTCAATTGTATTATAATTAACATCTATAAATACAGAATTAATAAATAAGAAAATCAATTTATAGAAGTAAATACATTATATATTAAATATTATAATACATATATATGTATATATGTATGTATGTATGTGTATTAATAATATAATATAAGAAACGTGATAAATTGTTTTTAAAATAATAATAATAATTTGAGATCTTACGACTACTCATCATTTAATATTTAAACACGTCACAATAATATAATTATATCTACAACGAATAGCACGTATCAGTCTTTTTGGAAATGATATTTAAGTATATTATATTAAATTTAGTTTTAAAAATGTATAGTAATAAAATAATAATAATAATAGTATTGTGGCCAATATTTCATCGTCTTGCTAATGCAGTGCATTTTACACCACAATTATTGCAATATCATTATTATGTTGATGTATGTACCAATAATAAACCACTATAAGTTATAGGTACCCACTTATCTGAGCTAAACTATGCGTATGCAACAACAAAAATAATAATGATGATTTCCATTAAAAACAAGTTCCATTGAAGAAAAAATATAAAATTCGCCTCATATTTTAAAATATGGCATTTTAGGGCTATAAAATCCCCCGCAAGCATGTCTAGTTAAGAATTATAATCGGCGATTTATTGATAAACGCGGAGTCAAAATTGCGTATTTTATTCAGCTGTATACATCACAACACCAATAATAAAATGATTGTTATTCGATAACTAAATAATATACTGTAACCGTCACACACAAATAATAATTAACGTCATATACATACTTCACCTGCAGGATTGACCAAACTAATTTTCTACTAGGATATCAACGTGACCTACAATATTTATTTATCAAATGTTCGACCACGATATCAAAAGTGAAAACCGTCGGTAAGCTATAATTATCTTCATAACAATAAAGTATAGGTTATACAGTAAATAAAATCTCTAATGAATCACTACAGGGATCTGTGCTTTTAAAAGAGCCACATGTTTGCAAACGACTACTGTTTTTTTACTCTTCTAAAATAACTATTGACAAAAACAAAGACATTTGAAAAGTCATACTCCCTGCTTTGATAAATTTATCAAAATCAAAACAAAACTGGTTGTAATATTGTATCTATTAGTATAACTATTCCATGATGATTTGATTTGAGGAAAAATACTGGATATTTCGACCAATTCATCTCGCATGGATACGATTTTATGTTATGACAATCATCATCGATTATTATGAGAGCTCATAGATTCCAACAACTTGCGATGATTACTGCAATTATGTATGCGTGTTAATCATTGCGTACCCGGTTTACATAATATATATATATATATTTAGGTAGATAAAACAAAAGCCGCCAGTCACAACGATAATAATAATATTACCAATACAACCACGAATATATAAAGTTATACCTTTAACATTTATAGAATTATTATTGGCATATGTGCTGATAGTGTTGTTATTATTACAAATTATTATCGTACCGAATTTGACGGACAGTGTCAATGTACTCGTATGTGATGATGATACAAAACACGCCATTATTGCCCATGTATATACAGGGCAGAGCACCGAGCGATGTTTTCACACGGTCTTATCGTGATATGATAATATGATGCGTAGTTGAAACGGGAAAACGGAATAACCCAACTGTTCGTGCTGTATGTATCGACTCCATTCGTGCGAAATACGCGCGCCAAAGTAGGCGACGAAATTATGCGTTAAAAAAAGAAGTTTGTAAATCGTACGGGCTTTCAGAAAGTTTTCCAGCAAATCTAAATATTATGTTTTTTACAAACGGTATCAAAATTAATATATTTCTTTTGTACGAAAAAAGTGACTTTGTAAGCGTTTTATGAATAGTATTATTAAATGCGCAAAGCGATTAAGTTCTTTTTTTTTTAATAAAAAGACAACATGTTCAGAATACAGAGTTTAAATGTCTTTTAAAACAAAGGTATTTAGACTCCGCGCATGTATAACGATGAACTGAATATCCGATAATGACAACATAATAATAATATGGCGTTATAAATATTAAATAAAACATGATCGAGCCAACACGAAAATTCCATTTTCGCGATACGATGCGACGTACCTATCGTCAATACGAATACAACTAGATACGGCCGAAAGAAAAAACAAATTAAATTTCACACGATTTCCTGAAGATCAAATTTCGTGTATAAAATAATATCATATTTATTATAATAGATGATTGTCGAATGGACTTATTTAATGGATACGCACATGCAGTGGCACGCGTAAGTCACATATTGGATGATAAAAGACGACCGACGATCAGTCGGAAACTAATGCTCCCACTGTCCACCTACCAGCATGCTATATATATATTATTTAGTAGATATAACTGACGATATATTGTGAGGACTATGAAACACTGGCCTAGCGATCTTGATGTTAGTAGTTCCGGGTATATATCCCGAGTAAATGTAAAACATATTTATCTAGATCACTGTTATCCTATGGTTGCTAGCTAATATGGTACTGCAGACAAATTACCGTAGTAAGTAAATATATAATAAAAATGTAAACTTTCGACGGAAAACCACTACAATATTATAATTTGAGTGAAAACTTAATTGAATGTTATCTATTTTATAACAATTATATTGTAAACGCGTAAAGGTATTATTAAATAAAAACGAAAATCGCCTGGATGATACGAATCGGACAATAATATTATAATATAGTGTCGCGTATTATATCAAATCATTTGGTGGGCTTCCAGGAAATGTTATCGATGTGATGTAGATTTCTTTTCAGACTTCCGCCGTCGGCCCAGGGGGAGTTAAGATACACGTCGTCATCGTCTTGGTCAAGTTTCTGAAACATAAAACAATACATAATTATACCTTAGAATACTTCATTAGGACTATATATCTAATTAAATTAACAACAATAATCCTTCATAGCTGTAAATCATGATTTTGTTTAAGTATTGTATCGTCTCCCTTCGCACTATGTGTTACAAATATTTATATGCCTTTACTCGAGAGGTATGCTCATTAAATTTATTTTATTGACGAAACTTATAAAAAATAGGTCCTATGGATCGCATCATATAATTACTGAATACTGTGCATACGTGTGTATTAAATTATTACAAACCCTCAATAAAATACAACCTAATCCTAAATGACAATTATATCGTTACATTGGTTACTGAAGAACATAATATGTGAAACAAATCTCGTTAAATTTATATTATTCGATTTTAAATAATAAAATGATACATAATACTAAATATTTGAGAGAAAAATACATCCAATACTAGTATATCTTATTATTATCATTACCTAAAGTTATAAAGTGTTTTTTTTTTTTTTTTATTTGAAATAAACAATCTATACAACTTATGCACAATAAGCTAATATGATGAAAGTAAAATGAGACATGATAGGTGTGATTTAAGCAGCCACCCATTAGAGGCTCTTGACAAAATGATTAATTATTTTATTTTATTTTTGTTGTAATTACATTAATTTATTTTTTTTTTAACAGTTAGACATTAAAGTTTTATAATAAGTCGCAGCACCACTTCCTTTTTAGCCTACGGTTAGAATTCCTGGAAATGTAAGGATAGAAAGATCATTTATGAGGGGATTAGGGTGTGCATGAAGTCGATTGTGGAAACGAGTGTAAAAAATACGTGCTTCTTCTTCTATCGATATGGAGATCGTTGTGCAGAGTTTGGTTGAAGATATATGGTGGTGCATTTGATAAACGTCGGAGTGATATATTTTGGAATGTTTGGATTCGATTAGTGTTGAATTTTTTAGCCGCCCCCCAAAGTTGCAGTCCATATGTCCAGATAGGTTTAAGAAGAGATTTATAGATTAGTAGTTTGGTATTTAGAGAGGAGTGCTTATTTTTAGTTAAAAGAGGTCTAAGCATACGCAAACGATTATTTAAGGTTAGCCTTTTGATCTGTAGGTGTTTATTCCATGTCAATCTCTTGTCGAGGATTAATCCTAAATATTTGGCTGTGTTAGAAGTGGGAATTTGTACATTGTTAAGGGCAATGTTTGGGCATATTCCTTGTTTGAGTGTGAATTTTGTGTGCTGAGATTTATTTTGGTTAATTTTAACTCGCCACTTAAGTTATAAAGTGTATAGAAATTATATTTAATGTATGATTAAACATTGAAAATATAGGTATTATGGATATTTATAATACTATTAGAATATAATATGCATAAATTATTATTAATATTTTACTGTTATTTATAATTTAATTTTTTACACGTCTGTAGATAGTGAAAAGTAAAAACAATAATTTAACTTTATTTCATATAATACCATAAGAATTCATACACTTGACATTAGCTGAGAGATAATATTAATTTCACGAATAATTTTGCTTTTTATACATTCAATTAAAGATAAAATATTTATTTCACTAATCAATGACGCTTTAAATAGGCTAAAATGGAACCAAAAAGAACGGCTTGAATATTATTAATAATTATTGTTATTTATAATTTTAATAAGTTAGGCAGTCACCTAAAGATTAAGGTATACTCGTTTTCGCAGCATTTAACGCACAACTGTTCTGTACAACCCATACCATTTATTGTCTTGGCACGCGCAATGCAGCTATATTATTATTATTATTATTGTATTATTTTACTGTTTTGAGTATGCGCAGGCGTGTTAAGTTGAACTCTCGTGGAAAGCTATGAAAAGCAAAAGTTTATTTTTTACGGCTTATGAATCACAAGTGTAGACGGTGGTTATAATACGGGAAAAAAAGACCCATCAGAACGCCTCGAGGGACGAGGAAGGCTGTTAAATATACAAAATAAGCTACTTTTCCTCCAACCGTTTTTAACAATACGAGTATACAACGGAACGTACGAAGTAATAATATGTGGTAATATATCGCAATGGAAATCTTACTTTTGTAGAGATTTGGACAAACACTAATCATTATATTAAGTTCATCATTCTTCATTACTTATTACTAAATCAATTTTTCATTTATTTAAATAAAAAGCAATTGTAATACAATAGTTATATACGAAAATTTTATATTTTAAAACGTGCACTTAAACAAATCATAAGCCGATTAGTAATTTTAAACTATATTTAACTAAAGTTCATCGGAACTGTATATATTTTGATGATTCGAAATTAATTATATTTTAATATGTAAATATTCCAGATTCCGACATTTATATAGTATGCTTAGACTCGGTTCGAAAAATCATGTATATCATGATTAAATTCATATATTTAGTTATCCAGAGTTTATAATATATTGAATAGGTCATTGGGTCATTAGGTCAACGGTCTCACGAGTTGCGAAGTGCATTATAGGTACAGGATGAAAAAGAGATCATGCGCCCACGTGTTTCATTGGAAATTCAATGATTTCATCTCATCGAGGCGTACCGGCAAAGCTTCGTCCGTGCGGGCGACTTTCGCCAAAGTCTATTCACCATCGCGAATATTAACACCATTTTGTTCGGTTTTAATGTTCTAAAATTAATATATTTATAAACGGATAAATCGTCAAAATCAGAGTAACGAGGAGAATCACATCTATATATATATATATATATACTAGCTGACCCGGCCACGCGTTGCTGTGGCTAAAGTTTTTGTTATATTACATTATAGTAAACAATCTAAGAGGAACAATAAGAGAACATCAGTCACGGAGTCCACTATGCTTTTTCACACAGATGATATTTGTAAAAAAATATGGTGATCTCCTTATTTGACTTTCTACTACTATAACCCTTTAGTACAATGAAATTATTTACTAACAAAGACGAAAATGTTGATGTTGGTATACAAATTCACTGGATTGAGATTTGAAGGGGAAGTACGTTGAACACAATTAATTAAAATGTTCTTACACTTGATATTAAGCAGAAATCAATAGGTACAAAATAAAAATTTATCAGATTTATTATTTCCATTTAATTTTATAACAAATATAAGTATATTACAGTATAATACAGTAAATAACATGTGACGCTTAAACTCATGAATGAGATAGGCAAGACAGACAGTCTTAAACTTTTAAACATTAATATCTATTTTTTTGAATTATAAATACTTTCAATTTCAATTTAATTTAACACCAATCGGTGCACAATGTTTTTGGTTAACCTGTCTTTAGCTAACACAAATAGATTCGACGGTTTCCCAACACGTGAACACGCAACATATAGTTGCCCATGAGAAAAACATGGATTTTCCAAATCTAAACCACAAATGAACATTGTTTGAAAAATAATTTTCAATGGAGGTTAAATAAAAATAATATAAAAATTTTTGTACAATTATTGAAAAAGTGTGGGGAGCTTTGTGCCATTTTCTCATTGATATATTAATTAACAAAAGTTTGTGATATTACTTACATGTATAAATTGAAATTATTGTTCCTGTGCTCCTACTGTGGCTATGTCTCGTTTTATTAATAGGTTATTACGTACCTATGAGAAAATATATTTTTTTTTATTTGTAGTTTATTAGTGGTTTTGGAAATCATAGAGCATAGTAAACTATTGAGTATGTCAAATGGTGCACAATATTTTTGGTTGTTGGCTGTATTAACAATTCATATCTACACGTATTATGGCGATAATTCTCGGAACAATTCATATCTACACGCCACCGACGATAAAACACATACAATAGAAAAAAGGTCAGGTTACAGATAGATACAATTATCGCGGTCGGCCACGGAAAAACCCGAAATACACCATGCAATCATACAAATTTATTAAAAAGTTAATTAAAAAATTTGAAATAAAAACTATCCTATCTTTTAAGTTGGACCAAATTACACGCGGTGTAAAAAATTTCATCAAAATCGGTTAAGTGGTTTAGGAGTCCATTGAGGACAAACATTGTGACACGAGATTTATATATATTAAGATATATCACGTATCCAAAGATTTACGTGTGTGAGTGTGTGTGTATTATATATATATATATACACTATACTTGTTGGAGGCGGAGACGATAATTAACGTTTAGATTTATCGCGTTTACACAGCACGCACACACGTAGGTACGAACGAGATACGCGAAACGAAAAATAGGCGATTGACTCAAAAGGAAAGCTAACGAATCGACTGCAAAAAAAAAATACAACTCTGGCCGATTGCTGCTACAGAGATACGATTTACAAAGAGAGAAATCGATTTTCCGGGAAAATTATAGGTTTCGCGATGTTTGCTTACCCGAATAAAAGCAAAAATAAAATGGTTCGCACGAAATTATTCAGGAAATACGTAAATACCTACTACTAATACGATAGGAAACAATGACCGCGATACGAGCATCAAAAAGATTTTTAATTTAATATAATTCAACGAGAAAACCTATACTTATAAATACATAATATAATATGGTATAGTGCTGGCGGCGATACAAGCACATGCACATTATTCAAACACTATAGACGATTAATACATCTCTGTAAACAACTATATAGCATATTCAGTAGAATGGGCAACAGTGTTTTCTCATTTTCATGAGTTAAACTTATGAGAGAAAGGGCAAATGTTTATTCCCTGTTTTCCGCTCTATTTCTCTGTGGTAAGCTTATCTATATTAAATTAATTTTATAATTGTATTATCAATAATACTTAATAAAAAAATTAACTATTTATTTAATTGTACGGCATTAAATATATTATTTTACTCATTAAATACACCAGTCCCATAAATAAAAATCAACCACGGTAAATTTATTCTCTGTATGATAAATATGCTATTATAATTTGAAAGTGTTGAATCCTTACAACGTTTAACTAGAAACTTCGAATCAGAATTACTATATACAACAAATCTAAAATTAGTTCCCAGTAAAAATTATTATTTAAATATTTTATAGCTTTTAAAAAACAATAGTTTAACATTTTTATGTTTGTGTTATTGTAACCAAACAAAAATAAATAGTAGAATTATAGAAATTCTATATTATTAATAAACTTTTATGATCAAACAAATTAACTTGTAACGTTAAAAGTATAATATTGATGTACTTACTTTATTTTTAATTTATAAATTCTACATCATACGTAAATTTTATTTTGGATATTTATTTTTGCATTAAAAATTTTAAGTTATATAAACAGCGTACATTCAACATAAAAATAGGCACTGAATCATAAGTTGTGAAAAAACTGTAGTGGGGACCGACTTAGAGTGCATTGTATAAAATGAGAAAATCATGGTTAGATTTAAAATTTATTCGTGAGAAAACCACTCACGAATAAAAGGGTTCTTAAGTGCGCTACGGGAGGGACGACTGCGTTTAAAACTAACCGATTTGTTTATTATTATTGTAACCACTCGTCGTATAAATTAAATCGTTATAATAGCTACTTATGTATATACACTTTCAAAGTTCAAATAATGATATCGCGTGTCGCATGGTATTATACAAAAAATAGTACGCTGACAAAATATTATAATTATTAGGTTTCTACCCTCATATACAGTCGAGTAAACTGCAAACTATATCTTACTGATAAACGATGTGGTTTTACTAGGTATATCATATTTTATTTTATGATATATATATATATATATATAACATATTATGAAATGTGTATGTATATACATTTCATAATATGTTATAACGACAAAATGTACGCACCATTACCTACGAGTACATATAGTAAATCAAATTATAGGTAAACAAAATACTACAAAATATTTTATTATTATCCTTACAAAAAAAGATTAGTATTAATATGAATACAGAAATAATTTAAGTGTGTTTCGGTCAAATTACAATTTTACATACAATTTTCAAAAGCTGACTTAAGAAAAAAGAAATGTATGACAGAATATATGTAAATTGTAAATAATATTTATTATATATATATATATATATTATATTTCAATGAAAACTTACAGCATATCACATTTATTTTATACTAAACCACAGTACTGTAGTTACGATTGCTTTAAGGGTCGTTGAGAAAAAAATAATGTGGCGGAAACATGCATATGACAGCGTCGCGTCGATAAAATACGACGAATAAATATTAAATTAATAATCATTTAGCAACACAATGTGTTAAATAATCTTCTCGATTATTATTAATGAAATGGTCTGCCGGGCACAATTAAACTATAGGTTTACCTCCCATTGCGTGTCTCTAATTATAGCGTTGAAAATGACTAACTTTAGTACGCGACAAATATCCCAACCATTTCTTTGAATCATTTTCGTCATGTTTACGTATCATCACAAGATTATATTATATAAATTTATAAAGAGATGACACTTTTCTAAATTATTAGCCAAAAACTTACGAGGCACGTAAAATATTTCCGCGTATACGCACAACGTAGCAGTGTTATTGTGGTATCGATATATACCAACATGTATACAATATTTTTGTATTGCAGCGGTATATGCAATTCTTTTCACTAAGATTGCCGTAGCAGGATCTTCGGACAAGCCACAAAAACGACGCACCTTTGTACACTGCATTAGTTTAAGCTACAATACATTAAAGCTAAACTAAAATAGGTACATCGCCATGATCAATAGTTTACAAACATATGGTATTCTGTATAGGCAGCTGAAAAACTAAAACTACGACGAGCACTTAATATTTTAAAGTGTAGACATGTAATTTTTCAAGAACGTTTGATTATTATTATTACTACTATTACTATAATCGTTTCCATAATTGTATGCAAAACAGTATTTACAAATGAACAATATTATACTCAATATCCGATCTCTGTAATCAAAAAATACAATATACGGGAAAATGTATACAATAATAATAAATAGTCGAATTACCAGCTATATAATACAACCAATTAAAATTATTGATATTAATAAGTCACTCGCAAGCAATGCATATATTATAGACACTATTCAATTATACGTCTTAAATATACTCACTTAGAACCCTTCTATACCTATGATTACCGGGAAAAATATCCTTTTATTGCATGATTTTTTTTTTTTTTATGTATTTTTTATAAAACTTTTACAAATATGAAATACGCAAAACACACGTTTTTCCGACTTTTGTGGAGAGAATTATAAACCGGTACCAAAATACTGTTTACGTTACTAGTGTATATGAATAATATGAGATTACCATGATTTGTTTTAAAAGGAAAGAAAACAAAACCAACTAGATATGTAAGTTAATTCGCAATATTCGTGAAGTTTAAGATATTGTACAGACAAAATAAGTAAGACTTGAGATTCTCTTCATTTCCAAGAAAAAGTTGTGAGAATTTTCTTTTATTAATTAAAAATATATTATTTTAATAAACAAAAAAAGTCTACAATATAAATTCCGTGACTGTTATTGTTATATAATACATTTCTATCGGCTTTCTGAATGATTAAAGTTCAAGCATGGGTTAAGTTAGATTTTGTGGACAGCTTTCACGAACAATTTAAAAATACGACAGTCCTCAAAAGAGTAACTTTAAAGTGACCCAACTGGTAGAAAATACGTGCAAGATAAACTGATTTAAAATTGACGTAGGCATAAGAAACAGCAATAGACGCGACGAATGCAAAGATACTTTAATTCTGAGTTTAGCCATAATACTTTTTTCGTGGGTTCTAAAACTAAGAAAGATACAGAAAATAGTAATTAGAACGTCACGAAACTCTTTATTTTTTAACACATTATCGATTTAATCAATAATCAATGTTACAAAATACAATTATTGATTAAATTATATGTGATTATTTTCCAACTGATAACCGACTTTATATAAGAACATATATTAATAACCCTAAAAACATATCAAAACTTAAATAAATAACCATACGGCTTGAACCATCTATTTTAGCGGTTGTTCGTAAAATACTCTTTGAAAAATAAAAACTAACAACATTGAAGCAAAAGCGAAAAAAATTAATGATCATACCCGGTAGAATTAGTTGGAAACGGTGAGGCCGAGGCGACGACAGTAGTCGTAGCGGAAATGGTTTTTACCGATCGTTCGAGGCTGCTATCGCACACGCTTGCTTCGCAGTTGTCATATTCATCTGACCACTCGCCCCTAGACGGTTCGTTCGAGTCTGATTGTCTGAGCGTGTGTTCAGACAAACGGAGCGCGTTCACGTAGTCGGAGACGGAATCGTCCACGCCCAGCGTGGACCTGAGCTGATCGCCGTAATACATTTCGGACGCGTCGTCATCATCGTCATAATCATCGACATCACCAACGTGGTCGCTTCGTCGACGGTACAACGGTTCACTGTCGGGCGTTCCGGTGCCGATGGGTGAAGTCGGTGCGGCGGCGGCGCTGCTGTTGTTGGTGATCGGCGTAGCCTCCGAACCAGATTTTGCACGGGAAGCGGAACCCCCGCCGCCACTACAACCGTAGCCCACTGCACTTCCGGTACCAACACCGCTTCCAGTAACGCCACCACCGCCAACCATCCGTCGGACGACGCGACGCTTGACTTTGGGCTTGCGGTGCCGGCCGGCGTACACACAGAAATACGCGAGCGCTACGTACACGACGGACACGACGAAACATGGTATGGGAAACACCATAGAGTACACCAGCTGTCTAGTGCTCTTGGCTAGGTCTAGTTCGGTGATGACCACCCAAGGTTCGACGCGGCTGTAGTAACACGGGTAGCTAGCGCCCACCTCAAAGTACCTTGCCCGGAACTCGGTGCAGTTTAGGTGAGGCGGGTAACCGCACCCCTTGACGTTTGGGTATATGCGGGCCATGGAATACGTCCACCCAGTGGCTGGCTCGGACTCGATGGGCCGGTAGCCGTGGACGAGCAACGACCGCCGGTCCCGAGCATTCAAGTCTCTCACCCTGTCTCTAGGCACGGTGTAGTTGACAAATATCTGTGCGCACTCGTATATCTCTCGAGTGCAGCCTTCCCGGCACGATGCCCAGCCACCTGGAAGCGAGCAGTTGGACGCGCCCACTCGAACTTGTGAGTGTGCAGTCACGCACGTTGTTGGAATTTCGTCGAACTTCATGAGTATAGTCGTGATGGCCGGCTCAATGAGGAACGGCACCAAGAACAGAAACACGAACAGACTGACGATGCCCAGCAGTATGAAGAAAGTAGTCAAGTAGAACAGCACCCGCTCCCGGAGCTCTTCTAGCCGTTTCTTCTCCGCCTCTTCGCGTTGCTGTTTCTCCAACTGCTGCTCGATCGCCGCTGCCGTGTCGTTCGCCGCTGCCGGCCCGTCGTCATCCATCAGCTCATCATGGCACGTGGCCGTTACCGCCCTCTCGCCTTAACGGCTGGCTGCGTGTTATTCGCATTTTTTACGCAGTATTTTTCAATTTCGATTCGTTTCCTTATTTATTATTATTACTATATTGTACGGCCGGTGTATTCTGAGTTTAAGAAAAATTGAGCACACGTTTCACAAAAAACAAAAAAAAATACTTAAAAATCAAATAACACCCCGTTGAACTATATTTTTTCGTCGTTGTCAAAGTTTAGTATTCAAACCGCTTAAGTTGTTCGTCGTCGTCGTCGTCTGCCAATTGCCGAAGAGCGCGGAGAAGTGATCGTGACATCTAATCGTTCTATCAGATCCATTTTCCTGGGAATATTATACGAGTATAATATAAGTGATAGATATGATCATCTACTCATTTCCGTTTGCCCTTCCTAAAAATGCATATTGTTATGAAAAACACAAGCGCACACACTTGTATATCGTTTCACCGATACAATCGCAATGAAAACTTTCTCGATCCCAATGTGGTAAATTAGATTTGGACGGGAATGGCTGGGATAGGTTGATATTTTATGCACGTATTTGTATTGTATAGAAATAATGTACCTTATATATACCTACTCTTAAATTTTGTTCAACGCCGCCGTACAACTAAGATACACGTACGACGTACCGTACTTCTTTATTTATATATTATACCCGCTAACAAACTTATAGCAAGAAAGATATAATATATGCCATTAAAGAATGAATAAGAAACAAAACTCGAAAATCGAAATACCTTATATTTATTCACGTTCCAAATGTTAAAGTCGCTATACATGTGTAATATACATTTTATATGCACCGAATATGTTTTAACCACCACACAATCAATCGTTTTATGCATAACTCTATTGGTAAAAATAGTAATCTTTCGTCATACATGGTACATGGTAATGAGTGTAATATGTATATTACAATTAGCCTAGAAATCTTTAATTTTTACAAACATTGAATATATTATACTATATATACTAAATCCTAATAGTAATATTATCAATATTTTAAAAAGCAACCCATCTCCACGCCAAAACCAATATTCTCTTTCCTTCCTTCAATCCTTTGGTGTATATGACGTGTAATTCGTAAAAACAAAAAAAATATTAAACGCAAAACAAGTAGAAATTAAAAACGTTTAAAAAATTATCTTTATACATGTGGAAATATATATTTAGGTATATTAGATTTTTATTAACAGCTACTAGTCATAAACTAGGATGGATCAACAAATACAGTATATTTTATTAATATAGTTTACTTTCCAATAGCCTTTGTCAATAATATTACGACGTCTCGCAACAGCATACGTTTATTAATATTACACCAAAATATAATAAGATAGTGAGAAAGAGAGAAAATGAGCGAGAGAGAGGATACGAACGCTACTAAACACGCACGAATCTCGTTTTGTCGTTATTATTATTTTCGAATAAAGTACAATACGCAGTACGTGAAAACTATATACACTTGCATTACATATTAGGTATATATAAAATACACTATACACACAACTACATTATATTATAGCTCGCAGCTTACTGTTCACGCGCGTCCCCTATAAACCTATTAAACGCTTAGTACGTATTGCTTTTTTTCTTTAACTCATAATGTTACAATGTTTATCATGTACATATAAAGCAGGGGCGTCCAAACAGTCGATCGTGTTAGAATTTATTTTTCGGCTACGCACACGAAAATTAATTATGGTGGTATAGTAACTTAATAATAACAAAAACTTTTTTATCGAAGTCGATCCTCAAAGGTGAAATATATTTTTAGTAGATCGCGGCCGAAAAAGTTTGGCCGTCCCTGATATATAATAGAATGGAATAAACAAGATGACTTTTTTTTTAACACGACAGATTTCATTATTGTGGTTATATTAAAAGTTTTATGTTTTTGAAGAAAAAAATAATTTTTTTTTAGGAACAAATTTAAAATAATAACTGCAGATAACAATATAACATACACGACATGTTATTATACACCTACATATTTTTCCAATACAATTTTTATCTTAGTCATAAAGGTATTTTAAGTTCTATCTATAATTTTAATTTCTTATACAAATAACTTTATCAATACTGATAGGTATTGAACCAATAAATTTAATTATTCATAAGAATTTTAAATTTATATATAGTTGACCAAAGTAGAGCATAAATATTTTTCAGGGTACTCCTTACAACTTTTACTACTCTTATCTATAAACTTTAAGGGCTTATAAATAAAAAAAACTATATCGGTTCCGATACTCAATGTTAGAATAATACATACCAAAATATTCAAAAAATATAAATAGTTATTCCAAAAATAAAATAATTAGATCACTGCAAATATATAGAATTGTAATTTATACAATTATATATCATATAATTATAATATATCAAAAAATAATTTGAGTAATAAAAATATTTAATTATTCAAATTAATGTAAACCACGATAAAGTCAGACCAAAATAAATTTCTTTCAAAAAAATAAAAAAGTTTTCTAGCACTGGTGTTTATTATATTTAAATAAACGAACTGTAATAAAATATACATTTATTAGTGTTTCATAAACTTTTTACCTGCCTATACAAAAGTTAGCGTAGATACTATACTTACTAGTTTTAATCAAATACAAGTTTAAATTAAATTAAATGGGGTCACTAACTTTGATAGAAAAATAATGGATATTACGTAAAGCTCTAACGTACAATTCTCCATTTATGTTTGTATCGTAAAATGTAAATATCCCTACGGACAGATACGCGATGTTCAAAGCATATTATGTACGTTATATAATATTTATCTATACTAAAATATATTCAAAATTGATGAACTTAAAATGTTAATAATATTCAAATTTGTATCACACAGTGTTTATTTTAAAAATATTTTTTCCCTTAATAGGTAAAAAAAATACGGTTTACCAATACAGATTACTAATATTATAAAATACGTAATGCATTTATCATATTTTGATCAATGATCGTACGTTTATCTAAAAAAGTATACATCATAATTTAAATATGATATTCGCATAATCGTGCAATATATTAGAGTGTAGTATATCCTCGAACATAGTGTATTATAATACGTGTACCTACTCGAACGGAACGAAAATAGATCGTGATCAGAATTCGGAAATTTCATAACTGTGCATGGTAATCGGCGAGAAAATACATCATCGCGTTATTATACATATAAGTATATTCAATACGGGTATAATAGAGGTAGAGCTCGAGATAAAAATAATATATTTTGAAAAATCGTAGATTACGTATGTAGATTAGAGGAACTCTATACACAAAGCATGTCAGCTGCGGCGGTGGTGGCGGCGTCAGAGATCGAGAAAGTTGCATCGAATAGTGCCGGGCAAAACTACATAATATATGAACACTAAGTAGGTATAACGATATACGTATTAACCCATGTAGTACATAAAATATATTAACAGAGGCGGATCGAACATACTTTTGATGGTTTACCGAACCAAAAAAAAATTTTTAAAAAAATACGTGATGGGAGGTCGTCGTCGTGAACATAGTATATTTAATGTAATTTTCGAAGTATAAGCTTTTGAAGAGTAGGCTATAAAAATAAACCTACGCCGTATGTACAGGAGCGGTTATACCATTTAAATTAAACGAGACTAAAATACAAATTGATTTGCAATAGATTTAAAATGGATAGACCACGGATATCTTTAGAAAATAAATAATAGCTAACCGCAATACGGCGATACCGACATGGAAGCTTGTCGATGAATGGGGTGCTATTCTATTGTTTCACTCGTAAATGTTTAATTTTGAAAATTTTACAAACAAATATTAAGATATTGGGTAATTAATATGTTCGCGATCTCGTTCGCAGTACTGGCGTTGAGGAAGGGTCTCGGATCGAGAGAAAAAAAAATTTTAAAAATACTCGGTGGTCTCGGGCCGCCTCTGTTAAATATAAAAAAAAAATATATATATATCAACATAACATAATATTATTATTATTATGCACAACGATGAGGAGACAATATGACACGTACCGTGTGCGGGCGGAGCGGCGGCGGCGTAATAACGTGATGACACGGCGCGCTGCTGCTGCTGCGACGGCGGCAGCGACGGCGACGGTTAACGTGCTACTGAGAGAGCTCCGTCGGCGGCCTGCGATACGCGGTTCTACGGCGGCGGCGACCCAGCGGATTGATCGAGAGATCGAGCGGAGGAGCGACGTCGTCGGCGTGCGCTGCTCCGCGGTGCGATGCAGAGCGGCGAGCGTTATTCAGTTCGGCGGGGGACCGGGCGCCGTCTAGCGGTGTCCCGGCGGCCGCGGCGCGCGCGTGTCGTCCCGTACACTGTACAGCGACGGACAGACGGACAGACGGCCGACGAGAACCGGCGCAAGCGCGATCGGAAATTACCGCGGCGGCGGCAGATACGCGTATTATGTGTGTAATATATATATATATATGTATAAGTATATATGCGTATAATTGCACGTCGGTTGAAAGAGAAAAAAAAAATGGAAAAAAAGACGGTTACCGTACACCGCGATTGTGTTTATACTGCTGCAGCCAAACACACGCCGCGGTACAAAAAAAAAAAAAAATAAAACGTTTACAACCCCCTCACGACAGCAGACGATAATCACGACACGACGTATATAAATATTAACTCTACGCGGGCCAAATCATAAACAAATTGTCCCGAAATATTCCGACAATGCACTATTCGCGAATATATTATAGGTAACCCGCTGACCTACGCCCAACGCTTAAACAATGTGCGTGAGCGCGCATAGAGAAGATCTCGATCTTAAGTATACCGACATACTATTATGTCCTGCAGCGGCGGGCTATGGTCATCGTGCCATGGTCTGGTGACGGTAAAATGTGGCGAGAGGATAGGAGGTCATATAAAAGGACACAATTCAGCCAATCGATAAGGCTCGTTCGCCCTATATTTGATATATATATACATGCATATATGTTTATGCGTATGTGTCACAGCAGCGGAGAAGGTTTACAAAGTGACGGTATACTTCGATAGGGAGGGCGGAGGTTTCGATAACGATGATTTGACGTAATGTATTTTATGCACGTGCCGCGAGGGTGGACGGAACAAGATATATGTTTAGATGACAAATATTATTTAGTATAATACGCGTGTATAGCAATGACGATCTAGCTGCATGTATTACGCGACAACGATGTATTAGGAACTGAAGTCCCAAAACTTTGGCCAGTCTATCGGTCCGTTTTTTTTTTATGTATATATTCTATAAAGCTACCCACCACTTGCACACCTACAGTGCGCACCAATCCCAACGCCGCGTGAAGGTGCTATTTGATAAATATATATATAAACCTATACATAATTTCGCTTTACATATATCTGTATGCTGTATTCACTACGGGCTAGAACCTCCAAGGATTGTATGAATTTCAATCCCTCCGAAACTGCTCTTCTCTTCCGTAAAGATCTACGTTATACTTTTAAGCTAATTTACATTAGACTCGCTCACGCCTTATTTCGGTGAAGTGGAACAAAGAAAGACTGACTTCAACCGTAGTAAAATAGCGAAAACATCTATACCACAGTAAATCGGCCCATGTATTATATTATAATAACAGATAAATTATATATACCTACACAACGGCATCGGTGAACGTTTCCAATCGTTTCCTATACACCCTCCTCCACTTACACCCCAACTGACACCACACACACATACAACTATAATCGAACGATCCACCATGCAAATGGCAATAAAATACATTTTGTACAATGCGTGTGCTGCACACAATCGGTGTCGGGTCGTCGTGCGGTCGTTGTTTGCAGTGGCGGCACAAAGGGGTATGTGTGTAATATATATTATTATTATTATTATTATTATTACTGTTTTGAATCACGTGATTCGCGAAAACAAATTTACCAGGCCGGGTGACGGGTTCATAAATGAGAGGAGTGGGACCTAAGCTATGAGATTTGACTAGCCTAACTAATCGTATTCTACCACGTGTATTGCCTACTTACTTTTTTTCGTTAAATATCATACAATTTCGGTTCTAACAAATAACCAATAAATGTAAATATTACATACAAATAAAAATGGCTATCATTTTACCACTGAAAAAACTCATATTATATTATATTATAGTATACAATATTTACTACACTTTAACTGATCTTAAGTTGGTAAAAAAAGTTAGATAGACAGATTATATGTATAAGAAGACTACGGATGATTCAAGCGATAAGAAAGAAAAATTTCCCAACATCACAGTAAACTATGCAATGTGCATAAAAGATGCCACTGCGTAAAAGATTCAAATAATATAAGTAAACGAATAAATAACTCTAAAAATAAGGGAAAAAATGCAAGTCTTATTTTATTCGCTCTTTTTCATGTCGTTAACATATAATATTTACAATAAACATGGGTGAGATATAATTAAGTTTAAAATTTTCTTAGTGAGATAAGAAAACTATTCACAAGTTCTCGTTAATTAATAATTAAACCCACCAGCTACCTTGATCCTCCTCAGTATGTACTCTGTCGCAAAATAGTGGATGTTTTTAAATTTTGATAGAAAAGGAAAATATGATTCTAAACAAAACTCGATTTGTACAAAAATGTTCATGACAGTGTTAAAATGATAACTCACTAAATTTTGGGTTTCACTCATTTGCTATTTCCTTGAAAACTATTCGAGAAACTATACTCATCCTGTACTAAAGAATTTTAAAAATTACCTCACTCAAGTATGTTTGATAATAATAGTGGTTACAAAACTTTATTAAACTTATAGAACTAAAATCATTTTAAATGCTAACACATATACTATAAAGCACTATTTTTGATTTTTTAAGCTTAATATTAATTATTTGATTTGTATCAAACTATAAATGAAACTAAAATATTAGAATATATAATTATTAAATATAAAAAGATCATTTGAAAAATGTATGTAATAACCGTGATTATTTATTTATCTTCTATAAATATTTATAATATATACATTACATTACGATAAACTGTAGTCTATACACACCTAAATATTATAAAATTTAATTTTAGATATAAATAACTATGAAAATCAGTTTATCACAAAAACACAAATATCAAGATATGAATATAATTTTGAGTGTTGACTAATTTCATTAGTTACAAATTACAAGAAATATTTATATTTATCTAAGAAAATCGAAATTCGGACGAGTAATATATGAGTTATAAGTATTTAAAGTTTAGTAAGTGAAATGGAAAGGTATAAGGATACCACACAAACATTGGTCTAATACATACTCCACTTATTTTAAGTTTAAATATTTATAACTCAATTATTATTCGTCCAAATATTAGTTTTCAAGTATCAAAATACTACGAAAAATACTTTGATTCAGAAAATTAAATTAAAAATGTATGTTTTCATTCAAAAAAGTAAAGATCTAAAAATTATCAGCTATTATAAAAAATATTTAAAAAATGTTACTGTAAATCAACTAGAAATTATGTAGTACTAGTTCTGAAAAAAATAATGTTATTCGATAAAAGAATTGCCATATACAAAAAAAAATGTTAAGATTATAAAACCTCGATATAATATTTTTTACGCCACAAGCTACAAAAATTCTGCACCATTATAACTTCCAATTCTCGGTGTAAGCCTATAACTGTAAATAGCAATAAGAATATTAGGATTGTAACCGCTTATATGTAGAAGTTACAAAAAAATAAATCAGGAAACTCGTTGAATAGGACACTTTAATGGATGCGTGTTAAAGTTTAATCATTGTAACAATATGAAAAACGATTTTGAGCGAAATAGACGATTAATACATATTTAATACAGTTTTAAAATTATATTATTTGCCTTGAAAATGTTTATTTTAATATTTGTTGATAATTTCAAGTCTCTACAATTATAATATTTCTTTCTGAATAAATTATCTTACAATAAAAAAAAAAAAATCAATTTCTTTAAAAACAGGCGTTGAATAAATATTCCTGTTCGACACTGTTTTTTGTTACTTTTATTCTAATTATTTAGAAAATTGTGGACTGTTTCTATTTTAGATTTTCAAAAGTACCTACAAACTTAATTAAATTTTTATCCAGAATCCACCCTAGCTATTAAATATTGGAGAAAATTTCTAATTTAAAACATGGTGATCCAAAAAAAAAAAATTAAACAAAAATTACAGTCTATTGTAAGACCAATAAGATTATTAATATAATCAGTAGAGGTTATAAAAATAGTAATAACAATTTTTATTTTATGACACAGTAAGAAAACCATTAAGCGTAGATAATAATTTACTTAGAATATTACTTTATTTACTAATAAAAACAGATAAATAATACAAAACCATTATGATTACAAAATTATGAAACAACACTAGTTTAATAACTTAACAAAACCATTCAACAATAACTAATAAATCTAAAAGCTAAAACAATAAATAAATGTTTTATCAAGTATTCTTATAATTTTTTTTTTTTTTAATTTAACTGACTTTGACAATTTAGCAAACGAAAATCGTTTATAAATGAAATAATAATATTATAAAGTTGGTTTCAAATTACAACCATAAGTTACATCTTAATAAGTTCTACTGTGCTGTCACAAATTGAAAAATCTGTTTAAGAGAAAACTAAAATATTTACTAAAATAAAGTTTTAAAAATTAATTAAATCGATCGATAAAAAAAATCAACGTATGCATATTATTATTGTCATAGAACCTATTATATTGTTACCTTTAAATATAAAACGAGACAGCTATTGGTTTTACAATGATATACTTGAATTACTGAAAACGCTTTAAAACGATATTCTCGTGTTTCAATCCTTTTAAATTTATAGCTGGCCTAACCAGACACCTAAATAACATATACAAAGTACTTCGGGTTTCAAAGATGAAAACCTTTATTGCTTTTTGACGTCTAAAAATAAAAACAATATAAATTATTGTTGCGCTCGATAATGTTACTTGATTTATTTAGTTTTAGCTTTTAGTTTTATACTTAAAAACATGCAATTTGAATTCTAATATTACCAAAAAAGTATACTACTCAAAAACTGTCTTAAAGTTGTAAAACCCTTTTATTAACCAACAAAAAATACCATATTGAATAGTAAAGTTATTTTTTCTTCTTGAACCGACCTCAAAAAAAGCTCTGTGTTATCATTACTATTGATTTTCGTTATATTTATCAACAAACAATATCATTTCA